ATTCTATTCTATTCTATTCTATTCTATTCTATTCTATTCTATTCTATTCTGAATCACTTAAGAAAGTTACAGTGTTTCATAATCAATACATCCTGTGTTCATCAGTAGCCCTTCAGTTAATATGCTTTGCCTTTTATACTTGTCCTCTTTCAAGTATATTTGGGATTAAGAGAATGAAGCTTCAAAATTAAATAGCAACATTCAGAAGTTAACCTAGATGCAAATTTGGTAGTTAATAGACCATACACAAATCTGACTAAGACCAGAAATCAGAATTGTTGATAGCATACTGAACCATTGCAGATTTCAGTTATATATACAGGTAATCCTTGACCTACAGCAGTTCGTTTAATGACTGTTTGAAGTTACAAAAAAGAAACCTATGACCATTTTTCACACCCACAACTGTTGGCAACGGTCATGTGATCAAATTCAGATGCTTGGCAACTGACTCATATGTATGATGGTTGCAGTGTCCCAGGGTCATGTGATCCTGTTTTGAGACCTTCTGACAAGAAAGTCAATGGGGAAAACAGATCCACATAACAACCTTGTTACGAACTTAACAATTTCAGGGATTTACTTAATAATTGTGGCAAGATGGGTTATAAAATGGGGCAAAACTCGCTTAACAACTATCTCACTTAGCAACTGAAAATTTTGTCTCAGTTCTGGTTATAAGTTGAGGACTATCTATAGAGAATGCATAGCAACATGGAAATGCAGAGATCAGGGCATTGACCACAGTAGCTTTTATTCAACAGTAGTAAGATCATTTATATTGGATAAAACTTACATAAATTTGAACTATTGAAGTTGTCCTTGTGAAATGATTTTTCTTACTAGTTTTTAATAATATGGTGGGTGGATCTTTATAATAGTTTCTAAAGGATGTGTTAAGTGGTAAATTAGATTCATTAGAGAAAGGATTGAAAAACTTGGTATATTTTCCTAAACAATATTCTATGTTGTTAATTATTCAATCTACTACTATTATTTTATGTTAAGTGTATAATGTTGATATTTAGAAGTTTTATATTATGTGTTATTTTTGTAAGACTTAGAACTGTGATTTCTGGTTTGTTTTTCTACTTCCTTTTCCTAGGATAGAGGAGTATTGGCTTATTTTGCTAATTTTCGTCTGCTTGCAGAATTGTCTACCCCTTTTGTGAATCAGCGGTAGGTAATATTTTCTATAAGTTATTCTTACATTATCATTTAGCTTGCTATTTGTAATTCAGTCACTACTGACCTAACAAATGTGCACTGTCTATTTATCGTGATACAGTGTCACTCTTTTTTAAAGTTAAAACCTTGTGGTCACTGGTGTTTTAGCAAAGGTTTAATGAAAATGACCCAAATATATTAATTGAGTTTTTTTTTAAATGTATGAATGCTAGAGGACTTAATGAAATTGCATTTAATTATGAAATAATTTAATTTCTATTAGCATAATTTCTAAAAAGATAACTATTCAAATTAAAACCAATAACCATATTGTTATTTATCTTACTATCCATTCAAGGCTCTTTAAAGCAGAAAGAGACTTTTATCTAAATAAAAATGTTAAGATTTTTTTTTCTTTGTGCAATGATTCTTGGAATAGGTACCTTACTTAGGGTCAACTTTTAAGTTGCATGCATTCTCAAAAATTGTATAGTACTATCTCTTGCAAGTTTATTTCATTCTTGTTGTTTTATTTGTTCATATCTGCTACTGTATTATATAATCATTTCCGAGATACATCAAAGACTTGTTAAAATCTCCGTCAAAATCATGATCCATCTGGGTACCAAGAATGAGATATAGAAATTAATTTTTGAAATTTTCTAAAGATTTCTACATTTTCTAAATTTCCTCCCTCCCTCCCCTTCCTTTCCTTCCCTTCCCTTCCCTTTTCTCATCCACTGCTACGTATAGTTTGAACATATTAACTCATTGCCTGCTTTTTTTACTGATTTTGAATATTTACTTTCATTTCAGAGTTTGAAAGTTTAATATAGTGTTTTCTTTTAAATTTCAACAGTCTAATTCTTTTAGTATCACTTTATGTTGTCATTCTCCTTTATTTTGGCCAGGACATGTAGAGTAAAGGTTTTATAGCATTAGAAGGAGGAGAATTAGAATGAAGAAAATAGCCTCTTTGCCTCATTACTACATTAAAATGTTATTTTTTTATTTTGTTTGTTTCATCTTTCATGCAAAAAGTGATCTAAGGTCACTTCATTATTGCTATTGGAAGGTATTAGGCTCATTCATCACAAATGAATCCTTTGCTGTGCTACTTTTGCAGCATGGCACAAGGTACAAAACTAGTATCTACAGTTTGGCTCCAAATTGGTTTCAGATTTCTTTCTATAGTTGCTTTCAGGAGTTATGTCATTGCTATTTGTCTTTGCTGCTTTGAAGTGAAGAGAATCTCTTTACTAACACACAAATATAGTTTATGAATACGTATCTTTATAGTAACCACTTATATTCCTTGCCTATATCATTAACAAAAGGAAAATGGTCAAGTTGTACACTTCAGCTGAACTCCCTGACATCTATAAACAATTCAATTATTCTTTTGAGCTGGTCAACAAAAATTATAGAAAGCAAGGTACAATAATCTAAACTAAATATAGGTTCTTTTCCTTCCTTTTTGAATCATCTGGATAGTTTAAACTAGAAAATCACTTCAGAGGAGCCTCACTTTTTGAAAAAAATAAAATAGATGGTATGCTGTACATGTATATACAAATTATTAACCCCTAAAATTTGTCAGAGACAAATTTGCTTTTATATAATGATCCTTAATAATGTGTAAAGGAAGTTTTGAAGAGACATGAGACAAAATTCAACGTTCTGTTAGATCTTGCTTTAAGTTTATTTCACTTCCTATGAGTATATCAATAGGAAGAAAAGGAACTATATTACTCCTTTCTTTACTTCTATTCATTCAACTGTATTTATTTTTATTCATTCAACAAATGCAGAAACTATACTGGAGTAAGGACAACATGAACAAAATCACACAGGGAAAGAAATATTTCCCACTTTATTAGAATAGAAGGGTTTGGGGAGAACTAAACATAATAAGATCTAACAGAATACTGAATTTTGCCTCATGTCTCTTCAAAATTTCCTTTAGTGTGAGGAGAACAGCACATTTCCAAAATTTAACAATATATTCTGTGAGTTCGGCTTTGATCTGTTTACACAAAGGAAGATGAGAAAAATGATACAGGACCCCACTTTCTCCATAGAGCTGCTGCGAGCATCCAGAGTGGGAGGTGCTCCAGTCTTCGCTCTCACAGGCTGAGTTATAATTGAGGAACGCTCCTCCTCCTCCACGTGACTCCTCCGTAGCGTTCCCCAGTTTTAGCTCAGCCTCGTAAGAGACAGGCAGCATTTTACAGCTCTTCCTTGGCCGATCCAGGAACTTTCTAAAAATAATTCAGGTTTGATTTCCTTTATTTCTCCTTTGGTCCCTCGCAGTTGGTGTGCCTGATACCTATCTAGTGGGACGTTTTTCGCCCCTCAAGGGGGAGAAAAGGGGAGCCTAACAGCCTTTTAGGCTACCCCCCCCCTCTCCCTGCCTTCCGTTTTAAGCCAGGCTGCTCTCAGGCAGCGGCTTGCTGTTCACGCTATTTATAGCGCTCTATAAAGTTGTTCCTTCCCCCCAAGAACGCTCGTTAGAAGGTGAGCTCGCTCCCTTCCGCCCCTCCTGCTTCGGCACTTTATCTGGTTTTTCAATTGAGGTGGCGTTTTTTCTTCTGCTTCTGTTAGTTTGCATCGGTTCCGGACACCATTTGGGGTGTGCCTCGTGGCCAGATGCCATTTTGGGTGTGCCTTGTGGATGGCCGCCATTTTGGGTGTGCCTTGTGGCCGGACGCCACTTTGGGTGTGCCTTGTGGACGGCCGTCATTTTGTTTTTGTAATTTATCTCAGCTGCGGTGACTTTGGAGGCACAGAGCCGGACTGGAAGGCCTGCTAGTGCCTTTATAACTGGGTACCGTGACTCCTAGCCCTGCTACCCTATTTATCTTTGTTATTGTTGGCTATTCCCAAAGCAGTATATAGAGGCGAGGTTCAAGGCCTTGTTAATTCCTCCCATTTTGTTGGGAGGTTGCCTCAGGAGGCCCTGCTTAATTTTTTTTGCCTGCAATTCTTTCTCAGTTTTTTTGTGGCCTCAGCGTTCATTCGACTCATTGGCCTTTTTTAAGTACCTGTGTTTCTGGTCTTCATTCTAACTATTGTCTATAATCATACGGATCTGGTAAGTCCCAATTGATCCCACCTCTTCCCCCCCCTCCAAAAATTAAGATAAAATAAAATAAATATAGTTAATATTCGCAATAGACCCAGAAAACAGTTAATATATTTTTACGATAATTTTTTTTCCAAAGGGGGGACGCGGTTCAACTATAGGATATCTGGCCTTGTTGTAGGTCAAACTCCTAGGCGTGCCAACCGCTTCTTTGAGTCTACTTTCTGTATTTCTCACCTTCCTTATTATGGCAGAGGACAATCCCAGAGGACCTTCTTTGAAGGCCAAGTCTAAGACACACCATCTGCGTAGGCAGGCCAAGGAGTCCTCCAAGGCTTCTCAGAGGGATGCCCTAAGGCGCCACAAAGCCTTGGAGAAGGAATTTGACAGGCATTCAAAGGACTCTCAATCTGTAACCTCAGTCCCTAATATACCCACCCCTTCTACCTCCGCTCAACCTCATCTTCTGCCAGAACAGATTTCTCTTTCTAGACGCAGTTCGCCCACTCGCAGCCCCAAAGCCGCTCGGGTACCTGAGCCTACATTCACACCTACCGCCGCTGGACTGCGCCCAGAGGAACCATCCACGAGCATTATTCCAGACAGTATCAAGGAGTGGATGCAACTGGCCATCCGACAGGGAATTGCGGAAGGTATCCAGCAGCTGTCCAGACCAGGTTCTCAAATGATGGCACACGAGGTCGAATCCGCTTCTGGAAGATCCCTCCCCAGACCGGAGCATCGCCATGGTCAGGTACTTTCTCAAGGGGAGATCCCTTTTCCGGAAGGGGAGGAGGAGGAGGAAGAGGATATGGATCTTCTACACTTCGGGGAAGAGGAAGGATTGGATAGGGGGTCCTTATACTACTCTGAACCCTTGTCAGAGGTGGAACCGATGGAAGGAGAGATGTCTGAGGACGAGGGGATTTCTCCGGATCAACCCACCTTCGTAGGCCTATTCAAACCCCATCTGTTCAAGTCCTTGCTATTCAAGGCAAAGAACATTTTGGGCCTAATGTCCCAGTCACCCTCTGGCTCTTCCTCAGCAACTCCCAGAGACCCAGAGGACTCTATCTTCAAGCAGCCAGTCGTAGAGGCCGAGGTTATTCCCACTCCACCCATTTTCACCGACTTAGTAACAAAACAGTTGGCCTCATCGCCCCCCCCCTCCAGTCAGGACAAGAGATTTTTTAATCTCGATATGGATTTCTCTTCCTTGTTAGACACGCCTGAAGTGGATGACCCCATAGTTAGATTAGCATCATCCTCCAATCCAACTGACACCCTGGAAGTCTTAAAACCAGAGGACAAACGGGCCGAGATGGCGCTACGCCGGGCTCATCTTTCCGATGCCTGGGCCATTCGATCAGCCACGGCCGCATCCTTTTTCACTCGATCTTCCATCAGATGGCTCCGCCAGTTGAAGCAGCATGTCCCCCCATCTAACACCAGGGCTCACCAGGACATTGCCAAGCTTACAGCTGTGGCAGAATATGCGGCCGATGCCACCTTTCATTCTGTGAAGTTTTCCTCCCGGGCCATCTCCTCACACGTTACAGCCCGACGTCTGCTCTGGCTTAAACACTGGCAAGCAGACATCAAGAATAAAGCTAAATTGGCTTCTGCTCCCATCTCGGGAGGCAAATTATTTGGCCCGGCCCTGGAACCACTGTTAATGGAAAGCAGCAATAAAAAGAAATTCCTCCCATCTCTTTTTTGCAGGCAGGAGTCCAGAGTGTCCCAGCCCTTTCGAAGGGGCTCCTTTCGCACCCCATATCAATCAACCTTCTCTCCCAGGTTCCAGAGATCCCCGTCCTTTCGCCCAGCTTACCAGGACCGGGGCGACCCGGGTGACAGGAATAGGAGAAGGGCCAGTTACAGGAGACCTTTCCGGGGCGCAAGAAGTAAATCGTCCCGGCGCCCCAGA